TCATCATCATTATCATCATTATCATCGTCATTATCATCATCATCATCATCATCATTATCAAGAATACATGTCTCATACTATTTATTAATAAATTTTTCAAACATATATTTTTGTAATCTACAAAAATTCATGAAATACATTGAAGCTATAAATATAAATATGTCAGGAAGAGTTGTGTAATGAAGTAATTTATATAATAATAATTTTTTTCATGCGCTTCTCATTCTATCTACTAAACAATTTGACATTATCATTAATCAGTAATAGCAATAGATTGTGGTAATTCTTCCGGGATGCACGATAATCTCAATTATTGCATCTCGCGGAAGAATTACCAAATCGATAGTCTATCAGTACTAATTAATAGTTAATTGACCCAACCATTACAATACCACTGCCGGATACTCTTTCTCGCCACACGCAAATCTCCACGCATTCATAACTACTATTTTCATGCACACTCATCACAACGATACCTTTCATGTTTATCGGTATGTGTGTCTGCGTCTGTATGTCTGTGCATGTGTGCATGTACGTATGTGTGTATGTATGTATGTTTATTAGTATGTACACAAGTGTTTGTATGTATGTATGTATGTACGTATGTATGTATTATGTATGTATGTAGGTGTATGTGTTATGTAGGTATGTTCATTAGTATGTACATAAGTGTATGTATGTATGTATGTAGGTATATGTGTGTGTATATATGTATGTATGTATAGTGTTTATATGTATGAACATATAAACAATACTACTCTGTATGGCTTCCTTTATGACAGAAAGTACGCTTGTATGTGTATGTGTGTGTGCGTGTGTGTGTGTTGCGTGTGTGTGTGCGTGTGTGTGTGTGTTGCGTGTGTGTGTGTGTGCGTGTGTGTGTGCGTGTGTGTGTGTTGCGTGTGTGTGTGTGTGTGTGTGTGTGTGTGTGTGTGTGTGTGCTGTGTGAGATAGGGAGAGACATGCATCATTGAGCAGAATGGAAAGAGAAGAAAATCGATCGGTGCGAGAGGTTCAGTGTTGAGAGATGAGTGGGCGACAGGGACACATCATCCTTTTTGTTATTAATCCGTATGGGTGGCGCTTTACAATTTTCCAGAACCATTTTAGGATGATGCACGATTTGATAGTGCAGAAAGGAATTTTAATTGTTGTGAATTAATTGTTTTTAATTGTTATAAATTGATAGAAATGAATGTTATAGTTAGTTTATGATTGTCTTTAATGTATGTGTATGTGATAATGAGAGAAAATCATATGAAGATTTTATGATGGAAAAAAAAATATCCTAATTTTACCTTCTTTGAAATGTATTCCATGTATGTATGAACTTTTTGATCATGTTAAACTGTTGCTGAAATATTGTTGATATAACATTTTTTTCCGGGCATCTTTTTCCTGTCCACTATATATAACTACAAAGTTTGTTAAGTTGTAATTTTGAAAGCAAGAGAGGAGTATCATAGTTTTTTTTTTTTTCATTGTTTTAAATTTTATTACTGTCAATAACTGTGTTTTTATCCTTATGTTCTCACTTATGTTCTCATTGCTTTCGCTTCATTCGTAATGCCGTACTTCTTTAAAACATTGCTATTTTGAGAAATGAACTCTGCGGTAAGAGAAGAGGGTACAGATCAAGGTGACGCATATGTCATATATCTTATTTATCAGTTGAAAAACATAGTTTTCGCTTCCACGTGATATACA